GGTCTGCTGCCTCATTTCCTTCTATTCCAACATGGCTTGGAATCCACTGGATCTTTATTGTGTCTCTGGCTTCACTGAACTTGCGGCGCAAATCATTTATGTCCGAGCTGTTGCCCAGCAGCCCTTTGCAGAGTGACTGACTGTCAGTCAAGATCAGCACATTGATCCTACTGTGGCAATTGTCAGCAATCCATTGTGCAGCAGACATCATTGCCTGGCATTCCTCGTCATAAGATGATGTAAGGAATGCACCTTTATTCAGTTTGTGGTGGTTCATCATTCATTATCACCACTGCTGCTGCTCCACCTTCGCCATATCCTGCGACTGCCGATCTATCGGTGAAAATTGTGACATCGGCACCAACCTCTTTGATCACATCCTCAGCTGCTTCACGTGCCTTTACAGGATCATCACCTTTTCCTTTTCCTCCTCTCAGTTCTGTCCGGATTTCGATTTCACCATGGGTCTCCCATGGACAAGCTCTCACCAGATTGATCGGCCATCGATTCTCTGCTTCAGGGGGGAGGTGGTCTGCTAGATCGGTGCCCATCCAAAACCACTTTTCCTGCGGTTTTTAGGCTTGACTGCTTGATCAAGGGCTGATGATGATGATGATGATGATGATGATGATGATGATGATGATGATGATGATGATGATGATGATGATGATGATGATGATGATGATGATGGTGGTGGGAATGATGGTGATGATGATGATGACGACGACAACGACAACCATGATGGTAATAATTTGAAAGACACACAGTATTCCGAGTGATATGTTTTTAATACAAATGTCTTTCCGAGGATGAACAGGAAACACCCAAACAAACAAAGTTTGAAAAGAATGACGTCATCAGAGGCACAGGAAGGAACAACGCAGAACATCTTCAACTCACTTATTTACAATGGCGTCTTAGAAGACAGACTGTCCCAAGATTAGATCTAAACAAAACTAATGAAAAACTGAAAATTAAACTACAGAGACTTCAGACTCCCTAATATAACTGTGCACCGTTTAAATGATTCCGAACAACGGTTAAGTTCAGCATGGTACCAACTGAGGTAACGAAGAGCCCGTTTTTCCCACCAAAAATCGAGTCCTTGCACCAGAATTTTGGGAACTATTAGGGAGAAGGAAATTTCAACAAACTACTGACACAGAGCGGCTGGTTGAAAAGGAAAATTGAAGTGAACGTTTAGAAAAAAGAACAAAACAAAAGAAAATCACCACCCGAGATTTACAAAGTTCTGTCTGCTCAGTACCTAGTTTAGAGAAATTTGACAGAAACAATGTTGAGTCTCACAAAATGTGCAGCTTTTTCGTAAGCAATTCTTTGAATATCTTGATTGCCATTCCAAATAATCTTGCCATTTTGATAGAGCAGATAGAATATGGTTTCTGACGTCACGGTCTAAGTAGCTCAAAACGACCAAATATGTCAGAGAGAACTTTATCCATAGATGTATATTATCATGTCATAGATTGCGCACTTTGACGTAATTCCTCTTCACCATAGTGTGCACCAGAATTTTTACTCAATTAAGAGCCAAATTTGGTGGCTTTTAAGCACAAGGGGGCTAATTCGAAAAATGCTGTTTTGAGAAAATCGAAGGTAACGTTTTTGCTCCTTGTTCAGTTTCTTTAAAAAACAAGGAGAGTTTTCTCTATAACCAAACACATACATGTATACACACAATGAAACAAAAACGTCTCATATAATTAGGACACTGCCCACTTTTGGTGTAGGTCAAGATTTCTAGAAACCCCCGAAATCTGGGTTAGCCCGCTTGTCCTTAAAAGCGACCATTTAGGAAGAAGAGAAGAAGGTGCCAAGCCATAGAGGACTCTAGCACGGCTGGTGTGGTGTCCTTCCTTTGTGTCACGACGTGGTGGAATCAGGCGCTCGTCAATTTTTGGCACATGGGATTATTGGTATCATCTGAAAGCTTCTTCATTCGTCTTCCTTTTGGTGAAAAAAATATCCATCTATGTTGAATAGCAGTCGAAATATTTGCAATTAAGGAGATCACGGTCGCCTGGTTTCAGAGGCAGGATTAGTGAGAAAATGGCCGCCAAATTTTGGTAACTTCCATAGCTTGAGAGTCCTAAGAAACTGAAATTTACATTTTTTGTTCCTTTAATCAATGGGTTTTTTTCCCATTAAGATAAACCCAAAAATGTGTTTACAAATGGACATAACGGGTGTTGGGCCAAAAAAAGAAAATGAGAAAAGAAATGGTAATGTCTACGTTCTCTAACGTTAGAGAACGTATATACGTTTTCCACGTTCTCTAATGTTAGGGTCTTGAACCAATCTCTGTCATTTTCTATGTCAACGTAAACAAAGAGGAGGGGATGAAGACTATGTCGGAGGGTTTGGATTGGAAAAGGGGGAGGGGAGGGAAGTTGAAAAGAGAGAAAGAGAGAGAGAGAGAGAGAGAG